CCTCCGGAGCCCCTGTCCATGTTCACAGGGTTGTTTCAAGTGCATTTAAGCAAGAAAGGGATTGAGGGAAAGTCACAGCCACGAGGAGTGCCCGGGGGTGGACCGAGCGTTCCCAACTGCACGGCCCTGCCAGATGCACGACAGTGACGGGAAGGAATCGAAGAGAGAAGGGACACGGTGCCCTTTGTCCCCCCAGGCGGGTCCTTTCTGTTCCCGCAGCGCCGGCCAGCCCCTCCCCGGGGCCCGGGAGAAATGGCTTTAGCGAGAGGGCTCACCCTTGCTCATCGAGGGGACTAGAAATACACGGCAAAGAACCCGCCAACATCCCGAGTGAGTGGCTGTGACGGGGACAGGCCCGCTCTCCGTCACAGCCCGCGTTGGGAAACTGTTACCTGCACACACAGGGGCTCCTGGGCTGTGGGAATGGGTAACTCTGGGTCCGTGCCCTTTAGAGGAAACGGGACAGACGGACACGAGGCAAACAATGACCTTCCCTGGGACCAGTGGACAGCAGGGGCCGGAGCTGGTGGGGGGAACCAACTCCTCCCTCTGGGGCTCAAGGGCGGGGAGGTTTGCAGGATGGAGAGGGGGGAGGAGGGGGATAAGAAAAGATGTCACTAGCACCCTGGCCAGTTTTGCTCAGTGGATAGTGTCAGCCTGCAGACTGAAGGGTCCCGGGTTCGATTCTAGTCAAGGGCACATGCCTAGGTTGTGAGCTCGAACCTCAGTGTAGGGTGTGCAGGAGGCAGCCAAACAATGATTCTCTCATCATTGATGTTTCTATCTCTCTCTCCCTCTCCCTTCCTCTCTGAAATCAATAAAAATTAAAAAATAATCTATATATATAAAAGGCTAATGTGCTAAGTGTCTGACCATCCGGTCACTATGACACGCACTGACCACCAGGGGGCAGACGCTCAACGCAGGAGCTGCCGGGCTGCAGTGACTTGGCAGCAGCGGTTCTTGGGTGACACACCCGGAAACCAGAGAGGAGGGAGCCCGATTCCTCACTGACCACAGGATTCCACCTTCGGCCGTGGGTTATGTTGTTGCTGGGGCACTGTCAGCCCCGAATCTGGTTACTGCACACTTGTGTTTGCATTCCACACTCTGTACGACAGCAACTTTGCAGAGTGCCCTCTCGCACTCCGGGACCCCTCGGGGGAAGTCAGAGAGCTGGTTTCGGCCCGATCCCCACAGGCCAGGCCGAGGGACCCCACCAGCCGGAGGGACCCTGCTCACTCCGCAGACGCCGGGGAGGGACCGTGGGAGGTTGGCTCCAGGACGTGTCCAGTCCCTCTCGCCCAGTCCCGCCCCGCTGGCCACCTTCTAATGAATTTCCTTTCAATGTGCACGAATCCGTGCACCAGGTCACCAGCAATAATAAAAAGAAAAGGAGACACTGGAAGCCCAGAAAGGGGAGCTCCAGCCACATCTGGAGGCACACGCTGACCTCCGTGGTGCCCTGTTAGCAAGCCCGCCACCTCCATGCAGCCCAGGGCAGAGGATCATGGGAAGGAAGGGGACACTGATCCGAGAATCTTCAGGAAAGACCCTAGAAGCAGGACAGCGGGCAGCGTGCTCAGCCAGACTTTCGGGCCTCGCCAGCCGATTCCCCTGGCGCCGTTGTTGTCCCTGATGAAGACCCACCGCTGTTTTACAAAGGGGCCCCCGCTCCTGAGAGACCGTGGAACACATTTCTGTTTGAACCCGTCACGGCGTGTTTACCGAACACCTCCCCGCGCATATCCTGTCGGCGGCTATAAATACCCCCAGAAGCTGCGACTCAGCAGGAGCCGAGGGAGGCTCCACCTTCTGGTTTTCCTGTCCCTGGTCGGTTGGTGCTCGGTGAGAACGTGCACCTTCTTCTTCCAGGACAGGCGCAGCCACGCGAGCTGCCTCGGGTTTAGTTTCTGCGCAAAGAGCCGCACTGACACGAGGAGGGCGGACCATGGCGCTCGGCCAATGTTCTCTGTGGGAGCTGGGGTCGCACCATCCCACACACGGAATCACAAACCCAAGTCCAACATGAGCCACACGTCGCTGAGGTTTCCAGCTGGGACAGAGGGGAGGGCGCCTGCTGGCCGGCGGCTCCAACGGGAGGTCAGCAGCTCGGCCCTGGCCTGGTGGCTCCGTGGGCTGGAGCATCGTCCTGTCCACCAAAAGGTGTGGTTTGGTCCTCTGTCGAGCCACACGTGGGAGGCAACCGATCTGTTTCTCTCTCTCTCTCTCTCTCTCTCTCTGCCTCCCTTCCTCTCTCTAAAAAATAAAAAATCAATTTTAAAAAGTCTCCTTGGGCCTGACCAGTGCAGCTCAGTGGCTGAACGTCGACCTATGAACCAAGAGGTCACAGTTCAATCCCCGGTCAGGGCACAGGCCCGGGTTTCGGGCTCCATCCCCAGTGGGGGGCGTGCAGGAGGCAGCCCATCCATGATTCTCTCTCATCATTGATGTTTCTATCTCCCTCTCCCTCACCCTTCCTCTCTGAGATCAATAAAAATATTTTTAAAAAAATAAAGGTGCAGAGTCACATTCACAGAGAACACGAGAGCGCACAGACCGAGGGTCCAGTGTGGCTTTGAGCAAAGCGGCTAAAATCCACTCGGCAAACAGCTCAGCTCCGAGGCCCGCTCGCGTCCTCCGGGCAGCGCCGGGCGGCTCGGAGCAGCGTGTTATCGGTGGCGGCAATAAAAGCGCACGAACTCGCTCTCTGCGGACGGGGAGCCTCCGGCACCAGCTGAGCCGGGCTGGTCCGAGTGTTTACAACAATGTGCACTTGGCCCTGTGCTCCGCTCTGCTTGCCCGCATCAC